TCAAGACATAGGGTTCATCACCTCTGAGGACAAATCTGACATGGTAGCTTGATTCTAAAAACAGATGGGCTGTTTCACTACCCGTTAGTCTCACTGCTAGTTCACAAACCTAGGACTACTTGTTTATTGCATGAGCCTGGGTCTGCATCCTTTTTTAGCAAAAATCACTTCTCCATGAGGAGAGTGAGTCTGTGAGGAATGAGTCACATACACAAAGACTAATGATATTCAACTAACTAGTCAATAAATGATAAAGTGCAAGATACAGATCCCTCTTAACTGCTAGACTGAGTCATCCTGATGGGTAGATTTATCACATCCTATCCAAAATTTCTAATACTAGCACCATATGTATAAAACAAGGGTTTGCCTTTGCCTTCCAGTGAGTCAGAGTCTCAGAAGTGTGTACCTTACAGAGCAAGCTAAGGCTACCTCCGTGACTTGACCTCTGGTCAGCAGCTAGTAATGAGTACCACAAGAGTTGAATTTGAGGTCAATGTTTTTCAGTATCTTCATGGAAAACCTGGATGATATGGTAGAATGTGCTCTCAGCAAATTTGTGGGTGGTACTAAATTAGGGGTAGTGGATGACATGTAAAATGGTGAAGCTTCAATCCAGAGGCACCCAGAGAAAATTGAGGATTAGGCCAGCAGATGCATCCTGCACCTCAGCAATGAGAAGCAGGAGTCCTGCATCTGGGGTGGTATAATCCCAGGTATCAGTGCATGGTGGGAACTGACTGGCTGAAAGGAGCTGGGGTTACACAGTGGCCTACATTAGGAGTACAGCCAGCTGATCAAGGGACATCAGTGTCCCTGTAGACACGACACTTGTGAGGTCACATTTGGAATGTTGCATCCAATTTCCTGACCCCTCCCCAGTTCAAAAGGGAAGCAAATGAACTGGGGGTGGACCAGCAGAGAGCTCCCAAGATGGTTAGAGCCCTAGAGCACATTGGGCTTGTTGAGTCTGGAAAAAAATAAGGGTGAAACATTATCTAATAGCAACCTACAACTCCATGAAAGAGAGTTACAAAAATGATGGAGCCAACCTCTCTGGCCACAGCACATGATACAGTGAAGGGCAACAGCCACAAGCTGTGACTTGAGAGGTTCAGACTGGACTTTGGGAAGATTTCTTTATCAGGAGGGCAGTGCAGAGAGATGGTGGGCTCTCCATCCTTGGTGTTTTGCAAGAAGTGGTGAGACAGAGTCACAGGTGACAATCTAGTGTAGTCCTGCTCAAAGCAGGGAGTTGGACTAGAGACTTCCAGAGGTTGGTTCCAACCCAAACTAATGGTCTATGATTCTCAGAATTGGCTGTATTTATTTCATCTCTGAAAACAGAAGCTCTACAATCCCCGCAGTGTGATGACCTGGAGAGCAAGTTAGTACTGCTGAGAGGCTCTGGTGAGGCCTTGATTACTCCGTGTGTCCCAGGAAAGAGCAGGAGAGACTGAACACAAAACCCTTTGCACTGGCAGTGAACTGATAAGATAAACCCAGCCAATCCAAGCAGGTGAACTGTGTTTCTGCAACAGGGGAAAATTAAAACCATTATGAATTCTGTTCTGTCTCATCTAAGGGGAATTTTCTCCTCAACCACAAATGATGACAATCACTTCAACTTGGGCATATGAGCAAGGCTTATCAGGAAATTAGCAAAGGAGGATTTTCTGTACCCTCTCACATACCAGACCATCCTTGTCTGTCCCCAGGTGTAGTCCATCTCTGATGCTTCTGAGGAAGGCAGGAAAAGACCCAGAATACTTTCAGCTCTGGGCACTAAGGTAAACCCCCCAGCTGGTGGTTGCAGGTTGCCCGTTGAAGCATGGGATTCAATTACACTCAGGGTCTTGAGGTGAAGTATAGATCTTGAGGGCAATGCTAGTAGCCCAGTTTTCCTCAGAGCCCATGAGAGAAGGAGCTAAGTACAGATGACAGGGAACTGGAGCTTTGGAGACAGGACCAACACGATCTTCCAGTATGACCTGCACACAGTGGCAGCTATAGAGCTCTGCCTGCCATCACGTTTGTTACTGTGCTCTATAATGAATGGTAAGGGACACGCTGCCTCTTCCCAACGCTTCTATTGCAAATGTCTGATGAAAGAAAGAGAGGTTCTGATTTGCATATGCTGGGGTTGAAATAGATGAGCAATCATTTTGAAAAATGAGCATAGGCACACATAAGCACCTGCACATGTAGTTAAACCTTCCATCCAAGGAGAGATGAGCCTGCTGCTGATTGTTTATGTTCATGCAGTAAAATTTCTATGGAATTATTTTTCTTGGATGAAAAACAGAAACAACCATGTCAACTCACTTCATTTTAATGTCCATTTTATTGTAATTATCTTGGCATTCTCTGAGCTTTCAGCATCTTGTTTTGGCATTATAAACACCTGTGCTTGCAAACCCTAGGCAACATAGATAAAAAGAAAATCTTGTACAATAATACCTATAGAGAATGAGATTGGTGCCAAATATGATACTTTCAGCATTTCAGCTCCCCTACATCCATACACAAATTGGTAACATATAAAGGCTGCTTATCTAAAGTGTTAGGTCTTTTTGTGTTCATTATTATTGTTCATATGTCACAGGTGCACAGAGAGAAAGAATGGGCTACACGATAAGATGCTTGACTGGACCTTAGGAGAAACAGTCACATTTTCCATATATTTCCTGTGTGACTTTGAGCAAGCCACTCAATCCTTTCATTTTATCATCTGTAGTATACTACACCCATAATATAAAACAGGTGCAATAACTCCTGTTCCACAAGAATTATGTGAAGACAATACTAGCCCTGATTGTACTTAGGTACGCAAGGATAGGTGGCTAAAGCCACAAATATTGCACATGTCTAACCTTTAAAAATCCTTTACATTCCCACTTTTTGGATATGGACTGTAGATCTCAAAAAGAACACAGTCCCATGGGGTAGACTCCATAAATATGTGTAGGAAACAGAAATTTGTTCCAAAAAATTATAATCAGAGAAATAATATTATCCTAATTTTTAGACAAGTAGCTGAGATACAGCTCCTTGAAGAAACTTGCCTGACATCAGATGAAGAGCCTAGGGCAGTGATGGGAAGTTAACCTAGAGGTCCTGAGCTCATCATTCCTTTAAATAAAGTACACACTCTGCATCAGTGCATACAGGGAGAGAAGTCAAGGTGGCATCCCAAGAATTTTGCGTTGTCATAGGATTCAGGAAGGAAAGCTGTTCCTTCACTGGCCTTTGTTGACAACTCCAGTAAAAAGCAGTGGAAGGAAATTCTTCTAAACATGGTTTAAGCTAAGGATTTAGAAGATGAGCAGCAACTGGCTGATCCCATTATCATACCTAACACCTGGAAAAAAAGACTGTTGTTGCATCTCTGTAGCTGCTGGTATCACCACTCAGAGAAACAGAAGGGATGGCATTGCAGAATGAGATTGTAGTCAGATACACAGCTCTGAGATGGGCTGGAAGAGGCCTGGAAGATGAAGTGACCCTGTTACAGGAACGGAGTGTTAGGTACAGATCTGCAGAAGAAATGCTGACAGAAAGATAACCTGAGTAACATTCAGTACTTTGAGACATGACAAGACATGTTAGGGACTAACACCTAGGCCTTTTTAGCTTATGACAGAACAGGTCCCATCCAGGAGCAATCTGGACAAATGGAAAGAAAACAGCATATAATGTTTACCCCCTAGAAGAAGAGAAAAGGGGTTGAGCCTCAGGCTAATGGGAAACACCAGCGACTGCAGTGTGTTAGATGTGGGTGAGAGCACAGCCCATGACTTTCTTGTGTTGGGCCTTTAGAATAATGGAAATTGGTGGAAATGGCTGTGGTGGAAAATGTAGGAGAACTGAGATCTCACAACCTTCCTTCACACTGCTGCAAGGTTGCACTGCCCTCCTGGTGAAAAATTTTCCTGAAGTCCAGCCTGAACATCTCAAGCCACAATTTGTGCCTGTTGCCTCTAGTTGCCACTATCAAGAAGAGCCTGGCTCTGTTGTCTTCACAACTCACTCCTGAACAGCACGGCCCAATACTGGACTCAGTATTTCAAATGTGTCCTCACCAGTGTTGAGTCCAAAGGGACAGAGTATGTCCTTGATCTACTGGCCACCCTTCTCCGAATGTAGCCCAGTATGTGGTTTCTTTAATTCACAATGAGAGCATCTGGCTGTAGATTGGTTTTTTTGCTCACTTTGTCACAAGAAAAATTACTAATCTTTGGGGAAACTACAGGAAGGGTATTGGGTGACTGTCAGTACTTAGCTGATGTTGCCTGTGTCCTCACGATGAATGGATGGATCCCAGATGAGAAGTGCATTCTCAGCTGAGTAAACTAACAGAGCTTTAAAGTACTTCTCGTCTCACTCAGAGGTTTTTCTATGGGAGATGTAGGATGATTTGGGCTGAAATGTAGTGGAACCCATGTACTGAGACAGAGAAAGGACTGTTGTGGCTGTGCAGCTGGGACCGGAAGGAACAAGGGAAAAGCATGCTCCCAGAGCAAATATTTGAGTGGAAAAGGGTTTTTTTTTGTTGTGAGCATGAGGTGCCCATGCTTTATTTATTTGAGAAGCTCTGCACTCACAGTGGGCAGAACTAGTTGGAAATAATTAAAGGCATTGCTAGGAATGGCTTAGGGTCACAGCCTGCTATAGGAGTAATACTTCATTGCCAGAATTTTGTTGCCTGTTGCCTTGAAATATAAGAGCTAAGATTTTGACAAACAGCTCTTCTTGGGATGGAAAATTCAAAAGCACATATTCCTTTGGCATGTGTATGTAATCTGCCAAGGCAGAGCTGAAAATGAGAAAAACATGTCCACAGAATTTTAAGAAAACATGAAGAGTAATGGCTCTAGTCCCTCTCAGCTAGACATTTTAGTGACACTTTAATTCTACTCATTCTCCCTTGCAGAAAAATATTTTCTGAGCCTTGAAAACCAAGGTGCAGCCATACACTGCAGCCATATGAGGACATTATCTCAGTTTGCATCTCTACTGGTCGGAGCAACTTCCAGGAACAACTGGAGATGTAAAGTGACTCTCTGTAAAAAGTGAGGGTGACACTTGAAGTGAACCAGTGGGAAATAAAGAATGATGCCACTGAAAATGAACAGGACGATGTAGAGGATCTCAATTTGGGGTTGATCAATGATGGGAGCTAACACCAGGTACACAGCTGCCATCAGCACGATCATGGGGATGATAATTGGGACCTGTGAAAGCAAAACATCAGTGTAAAGACTCATAATCCTGGACCACTGTGGGTCTTAACAACCCTGAAACTTCTGCAGAAGGCTTTTTAGATGAAACCCTCCTGCAACCTGAGGTATTACCTAGAAATCCCAATGAATCCAGACATCCTGTTTCTCAGCCCAGCCCCACTCCAGAGTTGAACATCCCTGCAAGAGCTACACCACCACCACACATCCCAACCCCTGGTCTTCCCTGCACTCCTAGACCTGGAGATGCAAACTACTGTTTTTAGTTCCAGGTCTGTTCTTGCTCCCCCTACTACCCTGCATCTAAAAGCTGAGCTGTAGACAAAACACACAGAAACGTGTACAGATCACATAACTGAACCTTAGCACCCTTGGGCAAAAAGGTTTACTCATGTTTTGACAGGTGGACAAGCAGTCTCAGAGGCTATTTCTGTAAGTCTGGTCAGAAAATTTAAATTTGAAGCCATCCTTCCTCAAAGGCTAGTGAATGCACAAGACAAAATTATTTCACAGCAAGGTGAAAAACTGAACATTCAAGCTGAGCTTTTCCATTTTTACATTTGTGCTTTTTGACCAACACAAGGGCACTGATACAAACCAAAGGAAATGTTGTGAGAGCATGGAGAAGACGTGCCGTTGGCTTTGTCTGCCTTAGTGGGATGCTCTATTCTGCTCCCTCCCCTCTGTGTTCTAACACTTTTGGCAAAATGCTAATAAAAATAATCGTTTTCAAGCCAAGGGAAATCTTTCCCTTAAATATAAACCTGCAACACGCATACAGATTCTGCAGGACATCAGCCATTACATTGTCAGTTGACCCAGAACCCTCAGACATGAGCTGCTTCTAGTTAAGGAAAGAGGCCATCAACCCAAAGCCTGCAGCAGGCTGACATCCTCACAGGACTGGCCTGAAGGACCATGGGATCTTTATACAGTGTATGAAACACTATTGCAGAAACAGAACTTTTTTTCCTTAAATCTCATTCAGCCACGAGGTTGGGTGAATGTCCTCATCCAGCATCCTAATTTCAGGACAGAGCCACAGAAGCCAGTGACTGAAAGACTTAACAGAGCACTGCTCTTCTCCTTCGCGCTAAGCCCCATAGGACACTCAATAGTGCTTTGCACAGCCTGGCAGTGTCAGCCTGTCTTCTATCTCCTGGAGGAACCCCATGAAAACCAGGATGTTCCTTCAGCTTGTCTCAGAGAAAACTCACTGTCCTGCATTCAGGGTCTCATGGGTCCCCTGTTCCTGGGATCTTTTCTGTAAAAATATTTCCCTCAGTCACCGAGGAAGCACTGCAGCTCAACTCACTCAGGGCACCAGGGAGAAGAACAGGTAACTCCTCCTTTCCGTCTACTTCCCTGTTTTGTGGGGAACAAACCTGTGCCCTGGCCATCTCAAAGAACTTGGGGCATTCTGGCTGAGTTTTTTGTCCTCTGCAAGGTTCTTACACCTGGGCTACCCTCTGAGGAGCTCTGAGAGCATAAACAGGTGACTGCATTTTTGGTCAGAATATCCTTCATTTTCCTCTTAAATCTTTTAGAAAAGAAAGAGGATATGGTAGACATATTTTCCACAGTGAGGCAGTGAAGCAGTGCATTGTTAGCTTATGAAGACAGGGAATTCAACCTTGACTTATGCCTGTATATTCACATTATCTTACCCCTCATTGACTTTGCTGAGACAAAACATGAAATTAAAAAAGGAAGGACAATCACACTAAAAGCAACCAGCCCCAGTTCTTGCTCTTTCCTCATAATTATCTCTTAATCATTTGGGCAATATAGGAAAAGGGTTTGAGGGTTTTATGTTATTACATCACCTTGTAAGAACCTGACAGTTCTGGCTTCTTGATTTTTAAATACAGGAGACCAGAAATAGTCATGCCATAGAAAATCCATGCCATAAAGCTGGAAGAAAAAGAAAATAAAGGAAAAAAACACAGCATTACATTTGGGGTGAGATCATCCAGGAATGCCAGGCCTGCCTTGCAGATCCCAGATGTTCATATCTCCAATTAAAAAGGACACTATTGATATAAATTGAGTAGTTCTTCCATTCATTCCTTTCCAGCACAATCAACGAGAACTTTAGAATGATCTGAATATTATAGACTCATTTCAGTACAAGAATGAATCACATCCAGTTAAGTATATAGTGACAGAAGCATTCATGCATTGCAAAGATGATGGTTCCTAAGCTCTCTCTTTTCTTTCTTCCCCCACTCCCCTCCACAGTATTCTTCAGAAAGCAATAGCCCAGGCTCAGGAAAAAAAAACAACCCAACAACCAACTTCTAAAACAATGTCAAAAACCAGGAGGACAGGGCACGCAAACAGAAATGCTACAAATACATACCTGAAAAAGTTCACGATACTGGTGAAGCTTCCTGATATTATCATTATTAAAGACACAGTAGATGTAAACAGCAGAGCAGGGGAGGGCGTGAGGCATCGCACATGAGCCATAGACAGAATGTTTGGCTGAAAGCCAAAGCAAAACAATATATCATCATATCACATACGCAGAGATCCTTACTCACCCCCATCAGCTACTGGTGGGACATCTGACTGCAGCCAGAGCTACTCTTAATCATCAAAAAAACATAATATAAAAGCAATTTAACTCCAAGGAATGTAAACATAGAAACCTCCCTCAAGGATATTTTTATTGTGTCTCACTGATTTCATAACACATATGCTTGGTTTAGGCAAGCAAGATGAGGTTTTCACACTACTAGTCGAACAAAGGTTGAGTCAAATCAGAGCTTTCCCGACCATCATCAGGACCTTGTGCATGATCCCACTTTTCTGTCCTCTGTCACATCTCTCTGAGACATGACTTCTCTTGAGCTGACTGGAAAGTGAGACAAGGAATATTCCTGAAACATTTATGCAACTAACCACAAAGCAAACCAGGATTTGTCCAGAACATGGAGAGAATTATTAACCTCATTATTGTTTGGTTCATTGGAAAGTTTCATGAGAAAGACTTCTTTTGATTTTTATTTTCTTTTTTTGTTATTTCCAACCAAAATATAATGCAAGGACTTCTGTTAGAGCTGAGTGTCTGCGAAATGGCATAAGCATTCAGCTCTTAGTCTGGTATGGTCAGATTCAGACCATCTGTGAACTGCTTAGCACTGAGCTTGCCACAATACAGCAGACACTGTCATCAGTAAAAGAGGCTGTAGAACCAGTAACCACCAAAACCAGTAACCACCGAAAGCAGTAACTACCAATCCAGTCATCTCCACCAACCTGGTCATTCATATACATAAGAGATTCCCTCCTATGTACAAGGAGTGGAGCTGGGCAGGGTGGTACCCTTCACACCTGAGAGCAGAAGTGCCAGATGATGTGGGGAGGAAGGACCAAAGAAGCAGGAAGGTCCAGGAGGAACACAACATGCCTGCTCAAAAGAGAGGGGGGCAAGCACTGAAAGGGAGAATTGTGGGGAGGTGTGGGAGTCCGTACCGGCAGGTGGAGTGGGGCAGTGGCCTCAGCGGCTTTTGTGCTCAGGTACCAGCAACTGGGCAGGCTGAATGTCTGAGCCCAGCTGCTGGAGGGTCCCACGTTGTGTATATGTTTTTATATATATATATTTTATTTTTTTTTTTCCCCCTAACAGACCCCTGATCAGCCAGAGAGGGAACAAGATAAGGCCCTTCATGCTGTTTGTGCTAATGTTCGTGTGAGCACTGAGTGTGTCTGCATTTGTAGATCTGTGTGGCCTGCTGCCTGTATATGTATATATACATATGTATACCTATGTATGTGTGTATATATATGTTGTATATTTGTGTGCCTATTAGGAATACATGCTGAACTTACCAGTTGGGCCAGGGAGCATGGAGCTGCAGCAGCCTGACCGCTGCTGAGCTACCAGATTTGGTCCCACCTAACAAAACCAATTCAAAACCCCAGCCAAGGGAGATGTAAGGTTCAGTGTCACCTTGGAACTGCTATGAAGCCTGAAGAGCAGAGATATCCTATGCTCTATCTGAACTGGACTGCCCCATGGGAAGGCTGGAACACGTCTGAGACCAGCTTGCATAGTCAGTACTGCATGCAAAGGCAGCTTGCCAGTGCAGGACTCCCTTCCCGGTGCGTGCAAGGGTGTCTTACACCACAAAAGCACAGCCAGGTTTCCCCTCACTGGAAGGTGCATTGGCTAGGTCACCCCAGAGCCTGTGTAGGGTGCTCCAATACAGCACTATTTCATCTTCTTCATTTCAAAGCTGTTCTTAAAAATCAGGCTAGATGTAATTATGTATCTTTCTGAAATGACATAGCTGAAGAAGAAAGTCAGGAGACAACATCTATATTACATGTGATAAAGATGGTGAAGAAAGTCTTTGAGCAAGAAACAAACCACTGAAGAGCTATCACTCTACTTGTTGAACATACACGGTGTTTTCCTCTCTGCTTTAGTGTCACAAGAAGGTAAAGTTGATCAAAGCAAGCCAGACCCCTTTTTTTTTGTCCTTACCATATGGCCTTCCCTTGCAGCAATGTAGCACACACGGCCTCCGCTAAAGAACGTGCCGTTGGATGAACCAAACGTAGACAGTGCCACCGACAGGGAGATGAGCCATGCCCAGCTGCCCAGGACTTTGTCCCTGAGGTGAGAAAGAGTTCAGAGCATAACATCCAGCTCACAGATATATCAAATACCCATTGTTGAACCAGACAGGTTTCTTCCCTCCATTATTCTCACTGAAATTTTTTCCAAAGCCTTGCTAATGATTTAAAGCCTTCTTCCATTTCCCATAATGTTGAGTCACTGGTAACTTTGTCTTGTCCAGAAAAGGCAGCTTTTCTTCCTGCCTGGTGTATATATACCTACATACGTCTACATTGCAATGGCATACAAAGCTGCCAAAACAGGCAAAACCCCCTTTTTGTGTACAAATTCTGTGGTGTGAATCCTGGAGATACTGCTATTACAGACAACAATATTAGCTTGGAAATTGCAGAAAAGCTGTTCCCACCAGATCTGAAGAAATATCTTGCACTATAACCTCTTCCCTGATATCCATAAGAATTTAACCCTTTAATCCCATATGTATGTATTTCTGCTACTCTGAATCAGGCTTAAACCAAAGCAATTGTTAGAATTCCAGAATTCCAGAAGTTTGGTTCTACATGTTCAGATATTTATGACTTGTTTTCTCCATAACAGAAGAAGTAGCAGGGTTACAAATAGAATTCAAGGTAAATATTTAGAAGACACGATAATCTTCTCATCTAAAAGTAAAGCTTGTCTTCCAGAATGAAGCAGCAGGAAGAATATGGTATTTGGGGTAATTATCACATACGTGTACACACACATACACAAACAAACAAACTGTTCATCTAATTGGCAAAAATCCAAAATTCAAAAGTTTTTTTGAACATTTATATTTCCTTCTGAATTGTATGTCTTTAAGCCATATGTACTCTTTTTTAATATCACTTAAATGTTCAAAAATCAAGAGTTCGGCTTCCCAAAATCATGGCAGAAGCTTATCTACCAGAATAATTTTTAAAATGTAGTTTGGAAGCTTATTATCTGAGTTATGGTCCTTCAGTTATTAATCTATTTGCAATAACCAGAATGAAAACTTTTCCCTTATTCAAAATTATGGAAACTGATCATCTCCTATGATCATTGAGACCCCATAACCACAAGATCTCAAGGGAAAACAACATATATCATAAAATTAGTAGTAAAATCTTTAGAAATTGTGTATTTTTCATTTATGAGATTGGTGCTTTGGTGTTTGGACCCTGAAAATTAACTACAGGAGCTACTGTGAGTAACCTCGTACAAGCAAACTGAGATCTGCAGTTGCTGTTAAATCACTGGCATCAGAGAAACACTGGGGAGTCTTTAATGAGCTCCTTTCGTGGGTGCACCTCTCACCACAGAACAATGTTTCTCTCTGGCAGTTTTCTTATTATATGGGGGATAAATGTGTTTAAATGCGATATGTCCTTCTCTGGCTTCTTTATACTCATCCCATCCTTTATTAATGACCTGAATAGCTGCATTTCTTGCTCATGAACCACAGCCATTACACCCTCCTCAGCCTGTGGCTATCTTACCTGTCCTCCAGGCTTTTTAGTGCCCAGCTTTCTGGTTGCTAGTTCAGTGTTTCTTCCTGAATTGCTCTCTTGGGGTGAAAAGGTTAATCAGGCAGGAAAAGAAGATGTGTTAAAAAGGAGGAAGCTCACAAATAACTTGTTAAGCAGGAATGATGGGAAAGGAAGTGCAGAGAAAGTTCATGACACCGCAGCTTAGTGAGGCTTTGTAACCTGTTCAAACAAAGCACTAGACCTTTAAAAGCTCCTACTTATAGTGACATGAAAGGTTACTAGAGAACACATCTAGCAAGAACTCAGTCAGATCTTCAAACTGGAGGTTTTGTGAAATGCATACAGAAGCAAAGCCAACTGCTGACTTTTTAGGAAGAGGATGAGCAGCAACATAATCTCTGGATATACTGTGTCCTCATTTCTGCCAGATGACTCATTTGCAGCTATCATGGATACTGTGACTTTGGAAATATTTAGACTAAGGCTGGATGTTCTGGTGGAAGATCAGCTGGTTGGAAGTTGATGGTGCCTACATCTCTCATGACAGTCTCTCCCTTCTCTTCCTAAAATCCTTGTCTTGCACAGAGCCTGTTTAATATCACCAAACACTTCAGGTTGGTGGAAATACAAATCGTTTCTCTGCAACTCTGGAAAAGCACAAGCCAACATAAAGATACAATTACCACAGGCTACCCAACTCACATATAACACTTCTCCTTCTCAAAGGTATTGTAGAGATCATTATCCATTTTTCCATTTTCCATTTCCTCACAGATGGAGAAACTGAACCAAAAGACTCTGGTCTGCTCTAATTTCCAGGTGCTGAGTGGACAGGATTCACCCACTTGGTTCCTGTCTCACTCCTAAACCACTCCCTCCACATTAGTGGGGCATCATGTTGTATTGTCCTCTCCGCTCTGCTGGAAATATCTAAAATGTGGGGTACCTCCCACTGCCCCAGTCTTGATATGCACCCTCATTGCATCCTCAAAGTCTGTGGGGAGATGCTTCTGGTGTGCACTTCAACCCCTCTTTATGGCCACTTTCCATGGGGAAAAACACAACCTAGAGGGGAGCCAGAGGCTCCCAGTGGGAATGAATGGGAATGGGGAGTAAGAGGTGTGCTGCACAGCACCCCATCTTGGCAGCCTCGGTGCACCATGGAGACCATGGGCCAGACAGGGCCAGTCAGCCTTGACCTTTGGTAGGGGGGGGGCTATACACTGCCCTGAGGGTGACAGGGCAGAGACTGGCAGCATGCTTCCCTGTGACATGGCCTGACCAATGCAGCGATGGCTGCCATTCCCACTGGGAATAGCATCTACATCTCCTGAAACTCGGGAGAGAACGCCCATTGCACTAGGCTGCCTTGGCTGTATTGCCCCACGCAGAGCTCACCCCCAAGTGATGGCCACAGCTCCTGAAGACAGCAGTTCAGATGGAGTCATGGCTGCTAAGTAGCTCACGTTTACCAGCAAATACAGGCATGTAACCAAAGGAATGGCAATCATCACAGCTCTGGGAAGGGTCACCTGGAAAACGGATGACAAGAGTGTTAGGTGCAGCACATTTATGCTTGCACTGGGCTTTTTTTGTTTGTTTTGTCTTTGCCATCACTCACATGTCTCATTCAAACTCCTTCGCTCACTAAGCTTTTCTGCAGAACAAGACTTAGATCCAGATTCACAAGGCAATTTTTACACCAGTCTCCAAAAGATGTCAGGCAAACAGTGAAGTGGTACATTTCAAAAGTTAGTCTTTAAAAAAGATAAAGAAAACCAAACCCCAATTCTTATTCAAAAAGATTTTGTTTTATAGCTGTCCAAGATGTCTGTTGCATACTTCTTGATTACTTCAGTATTGATGTATTTGTTACTAGTGTATTATGTCTCCTGGTGTGCTGCATCTTCCCATGAACATCCCACTGACATGGATGAAGTACCAGTGTGTGTTGCATCCCATTTAATGCCTCTGCAGGCTAAAACAAAGCAGGGCAGCACAAAGGAGATTTGTTCTTCGAAAGAATTATTCTTTTCCTAGTGACAGGATGCTATCTTGGGACACCACAGATCATTTTAAGGCCCAATAAAATCAACAAACACTACCTTATGCAGCTGAAAAGACCTGAAGAAAACCTACTAATAGGGTGATCATAGAGCAACCGTATACATCTAAAAACCTGAAATATCAATTATTGCATTCCCCATTTGCACCATAGGACAAGATATAGCAATTCTGTATGTTGTTGCCCCCACTCCACAAGGGTCTGTGTATCAGTGCTCTTGGTCCTGTGGGAGAGTTCCCACATGATCCTAGGATCTTTGCTGCCATTTAGGTTAATATTTAACTGTGTATTTTAATTTAATCTGTAAAATCTTGTGTGCTGCACTGGTAGAAAGCACACTCTATACACTCTGCACTCACAAAGTTCTTTCTAAAAAGGGGTTGTTCACTGCTGTAGTGTCCAATTTGTGAAAAGACGTAATATGGCACAGAGAGGGCTGATGCTTAAAGACAAGGGTCATTCAGAGAGTTATATTCTCTCTCGAGTGAGGCTTGGCTTGCTCTGAATTTCCCCCTTCATGCAACGAGGAGAGAGAAGTGCTTTTTTGAAGCATACATTATGGATCAAGTCTTTTAGGGAAAATGTGGTGTTAAGAAACCTTTCTGGATTATAGCAGTGAGTGCTTTTCTGCATTAATCTAGTTATCTACAGTGAGATCCTCTAAACACTAAGACAGAACTTCATCCCCAAAGCATTTAAGTGCTGCCTAATAGCTTTCTTCCAGGCAATGGAGTCTTTCAGTGCTTTCTTATAGGTAGGCTGTTATTTTAGTTAGAGACTAATTTTTATCCTTTCTGGACACATCCATAGGTGTCTTGCCCCAGAAGACAGAACAAGCCAGGAGGAAAGCTCAGAAGTCTTTCCTCAATGCTCTAATCACTTGATTACCCCTCTTAACACAATCATAGATAGAATCAAACATATTAACAGCAGGATTAAGTAAAACCCAGAACACTCACACACCTCAGACTTCTTCAGTTCCTCAGTTACATAGTTCAGGTTGTTCCACCCATCGTATGACCAGAGTCCCTGGTAAAATGCCACTCCAACTGCCCCGATACCTGCAGTTGTGTTTTGAAAAGCATTCTGAAAACTCTGAGTTTGTCCCTTGGCAAGCAGGACCAATCCACCCACCACAATCACCAACAAAGCCAAGATTTTGGCAGCTGTAAAAATGTTCATAATAGATGTCGCCAGCCTCACGTTGAGACAGTTGATGATAGTTAAAAACAGGATGCAGGCAGCAGCTGTACATTTGACGACAACCTGTGGAGATGAGCATCCTGGATAGAACGGTGCAATGGCATAATCAGCAAAGCTCAGACAGACAGCTGCCAAACCAGCTGGTCTCACCAGGATAACAGAAGTGTAGGCGAAAAGAAAAGCAGGAAAAGGACCAAAAATCCTCAAGATGTAAATATATTCTCCTCCAGACTCTTTAATTATGGTTCCAAGCTCAGCGTATGACAAGGCTCCAAACATGGCCAGGAGACCACATGCTGCCCAGATAAGCAGGCTGCTTGCAGGGCTTCCCATATGATGTAGTACCCACTCAGGGGACATAAAGATCCCTGAGCCTATCATGGTGCCTGCAATTAATGACACTCCGCTAATCAGACCAACTTCTTGCTTCAGTCTTAATTTCTCCTTCCCTTCACTCAGATTTATTGACAGATGAGGTGAATCTGTTGTCTTCCTTTTCCTCATTGTGGAAATGTTAGGAGATGTTAGCAGCTAACATGGAATAAGACTGAGGCATTTGAGTAAGGACTATCTCAGGCTTTTAAGGTTAAGTTAATAATTACAAAAGCCACACTGAACACTGTCAAATAAACTTACCTTCTGTGTTTTGCATACTTTCATTACCCGTCTTACCTCGATAATTTATCATGGTTCAGATCCTGCCGAGACTGGTTGTCTTTGAATCTCAATGGCAAGCAACAGGAATCGATAGCATTCAGCACCACCTCAGAATCACTCAGCACCTTACTGGACTCTGTCCCTGTTAATCTCTCCTTTAAGTTACGCTTCAAAGGGCATCTGAAATAAGGAGTAGATAAGAAAACCCCCATGCAAATCTGTACTTTATTCTTTGATTAAAAGTCAGTGCTCAAGCACTTGCATTAGTGCTCAGTCATATTTTTATTCACCACTATAAAGTGATCAGACAACCAAGCCTGTCACCCAACATGCTATGGCTTTGCTCACTGAGGAACATTTCCAGTGTCTTAATCAAAGAGATGTTCTGCTAAAAACAGTCCAGAGACCATTTTTCTGCATAATAGAAGGGGGCAATTCTGGCTTTTTCAAATTTTAGAAAGTGCAGGAGAAGAGTACATTTGGAAATGCAACTGACTCCTACTTAGATATCTAATACGTAAAATTTCAGACTTTGGGGAGGGTTCTGCTATAAATCTGAATATTGTTACAGTGCATGAGGGTGTATTTTGTGATCTGTGACATGTACAAAAAGTATTGAGCAGAAGGGAATTTCCATAGGGATGGATTCCTTTGAACTTAAACTAAACTTTACTGACTGCAACGGTAAAGGAGAGTTCTGTCCTTGGTGGTCTCTTGCAGACTTCTCTTGCGATAAGTACCAGAAAACAGGATTGAAACCTTCCTCAGCCCTTCATGGAAGCAGCAGACCTTGAATCTTGAAAACTATCTGTCCTCCTCAATCATTTGAGCTAAAAAAATGCATTAATATAAACAAGTATTTTTATTGTTTGTCTAAAAATTCCTTCTATTCTAAATAATTTAGATTTCTCTTTACTTGCTTTTTTTTTCTTCTTCTTTTTTTTTTTTTTTT